GTGTATTGATTCGTTGCCAATACATACTGAGGCCTTACCCCTACCAAAGAACATATCAAAAGTGCTGTGCTGGGGGCCTCTCTCTGCACTCCTGGACATCAGTGCACAGAGGGGTCTGTGCTCCAGCTGTCAATAAACGACTCATTGCCGCTTGCATTGATCTTTGGTCCCTGGTGGTCTTTTCAGGCGCTCCAAGTCTGGACATTACAATGCATCTTTATTAGTATCTTATCTTCCACCATCTCTCATTCTTTCCCATCTCCACTTATCCTCTTACCAAAATAAGTATTTATAATGTTTCTTTTTGTCATCTGGCCAAATATTTTGAAGAAGAAAGGAAGGAGGTACTGCCATGTAGTACAATTCTATAGAAACTTGTCAAAATTTGTTTTGCTTCTAATATAGTAAAAATGTTTTGTTAACTTGTCTTTATGATCATATTTTCATTTTTTCTCATAATAGTTATTTAATTTACATCAAATGCGGATAGGTTGTATGTCTATAAACATTTTAATTTAGAGATCCTCTCTCTGGTTTATTGGTTGAGACTGGATGTTGTTAACATTGTTAACATTTTTGTGGGGGATAAATGTTTTCCTCTAATCACAGTTCTTCCAATCTTTACCTCCCAACAGAGTTTTCCAAATTTTCAAGCCAAATTAACAATTGAAAAAAACAACCTTTTTACTGACGTCTGTTTATAGTATTGTGGGATTTTATATACTTATGAAACCAGGGCACAGGCTGGGAAGGTGGCTCAGTGGTAGAGCGCTTGCCTTGCATGCCTGAGGCCCTGGGTTCGATTCCTCAGCACCACATAAGCAAAAAGAAAAAAGCTGGAAGTGGCGCTGTGGCTCAAGTGGTAGAGCGCTAGCCTTGAGCTGAAGAGCTGAGGGACATCGCCCAGGCCCAGAGTTCAGGCCCCACGACCGGACCCAAAAAAAAAAAAAAAAAGAAAGAAACCAGGGCACAAATAATCAAACCATTGCCAGATGTCTGTACTCTATTGGTTCTCTAACTCAAAGTTAATAACTATTCAGATTTCTATCAACATAGGTAAGTTTTGTCTGTTTCATAAAGTCTGTGTAAATAGAACCTGATTATTCCTGGTTTGTGTTTGATTTCTTTTACTTCTCATTTATTGTCTGTGAGGGTCTTCCAAGTTAATGACATTTCTTACTAATGAGCATTATTCTGTTGTCTATGTGTGCCATACTTAATTTTTCTGCTCTTCTGTTAGTAGATTTATCGCTTTTGATTTAACAGTGTCTTCAGTAAATAAAAGCTTCATACACAGTATTGTAATGATGCTTGGTGAACATATACATATACTTCAGATTGAGCCTTTTTTGCCAGAATTTTTGTGCTATTCTTTTAAGTATGGTATGATAGTATAAGTGATTTTGAATTTTTTCCACCAAACTTGGTATTGTTATTAAACACCAAACAAACCTGGTATATGTAGAAATCATCTCAGTATTTTTAGTAATGACACTAACAAGTATACATAATGTCATGGCATTTGAATGGCTACCTTAAATGGGTAAATAACTTAATTAGCTTGAGGCAAACTTGATTACCATCTGAAAGTTATTTTAACCAACATGATTTCTTTTTTCTTAGCATTCCAACTAGTTAAAAAAGTTTTCGATTAGCTAAAATAAGTGTTACTGCTTTTCTAAAGCTTTAATGACGTAATAGTAACCTTACTTTCTTAAATAGCTATATATTAACATGCCCTCAAGCCTAAGAAAAGGAGGCAGCTGAAGTTGTAGTAGCTCTTAAATACTTAACTATTAAAGTAACTGAAATGATGAAGAATGTATAGAATGAGACAAACAGCTATATTTTAAGTTCTATTGTAGGCTTTGTAGTATATTAGAAACTTTTTTTCATGGAACTTGTAAAATGTTTGAAGTTATGCAAAGCATTAGTATAAGTGAAGCAGTAAAAAATGGAGGAAATTCAATTATGTGCAAAGCATTCACTTCTATTTAATGAAAGTATTTGTTTAATAACCATACAGGTCTTACAGTCCTTAGTAAATTAGAAATTTCCTTAAATAGAAAATAAAGAAAATACTTTCTCAATAAATGCTTTAATAAAAGGTGGTTCTACTAAGTTAAAGCCTGTGCTGAAGAATGTTGCAGTCAAGGCAATGCAGTTAGCAATTAGATTAGATGAATCAGTAAAGTTAATAAAAATCCAGATTACTTACTTGATGCTCAGTATAAGCCAAACATTACCTTAAGCATTTTAAATATATTATTTCACAGTTGTCAATAACTACATGAGGTTGATGAGCTTGTTACTCTCATTTACGATGAAATCCTGAGAAACACAAGTTTGACATGGTCATGGTCATGTAGCTATTGAGCATGAACCACTCTTAGAACTGAAACTGTAATATGCTGCTGTGTGGGTTATTAGTATATTTTTATTATAACATCTAAAAGTGGGGATTAAGGAAACTGGGTGAACTAGGTGCTGGAGCCTCACAACTGTAATTCTCACTACTCAGGAGGCTGAGGTCAGAGGATTGAAGTTCAGAAGCAGAACTGGCAGTAAAGTCCACAGACTCCTCCCAAATGAATAAATGCCAGGCTGGAGGCAAGGCTTTAAGTGGTAGAAAACCAGCTATAAGCAAACCAACAATGCACAAGGCCCTGAGTTCATGTCCTAGTTTTGCCAAACAAAGCAAGGAGAAGGGCTGGAGGAGAAGGTTTGGCTCAAGTAGTAGAGCACCTGCTTGGTGTGCACAGGTTCCTGAGTTCAAACCCTGTTTCTCCTACACACACATATATATTCACTCAAAAAAGAAATAACAGTTATCAAACAAAGAAGAAACATATCTAAAAGAAAAATAATTTGAGAGCACATACATCACAATAGTCCAGAGGTTTTTGTTGTTGTTTTTAAAAGGGAAGCTGCTTATAGGGAGTTCATTATCATTCAGTGAATATCTGCTATGAATTAATTTGAACTTCTAACATTTGTTAGGAGGTAGTAAGCTGTTTATATCTTTAGCATCAGTGCTCTAGTAGAAGTGGGTTAATGTGGATTAATGTGGGATAGCAAAAGAATGTCCCACTTTGAAATCAGGAGGACCTCAGTGTTGATGATTAAAGCTTAATTATATCCAAGATTGGTGGCACATATCTGTACAATCCCATCACTTGGGAAGCAGAGACAGGGTAATTCAAATACCAGGCCATCCTGAGCTTCATAGACCCTGTTCCCCAAAAAACCCACAGAAGTTTATTTAAAAAAATTACTTTTAATTAAGATATAGTTTTAGTTTTTCAGTATTTTTGCATGGGTATCTATCTCCTTTGTCTAATCCTGTCTATACTCCCAGATATTCAGCAAATATGTGTAATATGTGACAGACGAATGGGTTGTTGGGTATAGCATTCAATAAATTAAATAAAAATCTGTGCCCTTATCAAGTTTTCAGTCTGATTGAGTGCATTTAGCTGTTATTTATTTTTGGGAACTGGATCTTTCTGGTATTATTCCCTTGCTTTGCTTTAGAAAATCTGGTTTATCTAAGAGCGCTGGTCTGTTTGGGAGAACTCATCTCTTAAGAACCTTTGTGGACAAACATATTTGTTTAGGTCCCTCTATGACCAACAATTCTTTGTCTATGTGTTCTAAGTTTAATACAAATTCATTGAGCAGTTTTTACTTGATGGACATACGCATATTGCAAAAACAAGAGGAAAAAAAGAGGAAATGTGTTTTTTCCTACCTGTAATCTTTCTCTAAACTTTCCCTTCACTCTTTTGTTCCATAACAGCTTATCAGGACCTTCAAGCAGAGGCTTCCTTGTATAAGTCTATCTCAATTTCTACTTCCTGGCCCAAAAGAAGGAAAGAAAGAAGGAATGTTTCCAAATGTTTGTGTGTTTTTCTTTATGATTTAGTGACTTTTTCATACCAGACCTCTATTAGGCAGCTTTCTCTTATAATAAATACTTGAGGGGCTGGGAAGGTGGCTCAGTGGTAGAGCGCTTGCCTTGCAAGCCTGAGGCCCTGGGTTCCATTCCTCAGCACCACATAAGCAAAAAGAAAAAAGCCGGAAGTGGCGCTGTGGCTCAAGTGGTAGAGCGCTAGCCTTGAGCTGAAGAGCGGAGGGACAGCGCCCAGGCCCAGAGTTCAAGCCCTACGACCGGACCCAAAAAACAAAACAAAACAAAAAATACTTGAGTTAGCTTATGAAGAGGAAAGGTTTGGCTCATAGTTTTGTAGAATCCAGCATGTGGTCAATTGGCCCTGGTGCTTTGGTCTTGTGGTGAGACAACAAAACAAGACAGTGAGTGCATGCTGGAGTACAGCTATTTGCTTCATGGCTGGGATGCAAAAGAGAAAAGGGAAGATAACCAGGGACTCACAATCCTCTTTAAGGATATGCTCAGGGATTGGTGTTCCAGCTGACTTCTGGAACTGGGCGAGGGTTATCTTGATTGTACAACTTGATTGAATTGCAAAGGACCTAAAAGATTAGTCACCCATACTTTTGGATTCTGTCAGGGCCTTTTACAACAGGACACACATAAGGAGAAAGATCTGCCTTGAATGGGGTTAGTACCATCCAGTAGGCTGGGGCCTCCAATGGAGTAAAAAGGGAAGAAGGAAGCTTGCCTAGCATAGGCATTCTCTTTGTTTCCTAGTTACAATGAGGTAAGCTGCTCTGCCTTCCATACCTTCCTTGTCTTGATAGACTGAAACCTCTGAATCTGTAAATCAAAACAAATCTTTCCTCCTTTTAAGTTGTTTATATTAGGTATTTTGTTTCAATTATGAAAGTCTAACATACGTAACCTTTTAACTTTTATTTTGTACTTATCCCTTCTTTTCTGCTGAATTTCATCATCTCGTTATTATCACCTCCATACTTTTTATTTAAGCTTTTACATTAACTTTATTCTCAGAGCCAACCTGTGTGAGTTAACACCCGTGCCGCGCACCCCCTCCCCCATTGCCAACTATTGTAGGAATCATATTCCTTCTTATGTGTACCAAAATGTCATACTTACCAATGAGTTTTGGGGTGCAAACGAGGATTTACTTCACCTGTCTGTAAGGCTTTGTTACAGATTATCAAAGACACAAATAAATGCTACTGTTATACTTTCTTGTTTTAGGTTTTTTTCTTTCTAATTTCTGTTAGTAACCCTCCAAAGGCTCCTGTAGTTCAGGGACTCCATTTATCTCTATGTTCTTAAACCCACTAAAATTTTCTCTGTTCTTCTCATTTATTATCTTCACAGATGGCCATTTCGTGTTTCTTACTTTCTTGCCTTAGTTTACATAGACCCTACTCTCCTGGTTTTATTCTGACTTCATTGTCTGTTTTTTCCAAGAATCTTTTGCTGGCTCTCTGTGCAAGAGTTGAAAATATTATAGGATGCCAATTAGTGTAAGACTCCCTTCTTTCATCTCCATTCTGTTTCTCCTCTTCCTTTCCCCCTCCCTTATCCCTCTCTCCCCCTCTAAAATAAATTTAGCTCTTTGAGGTACATTAATGGCTTCCAAATCTATATTTCTTTGCTTGACATTGCCTCAGAACAGTAGATTTGTGTTTACATCTGTTCAGCGGCCTCATAGTTACTTCTATATAAAGTGTCTTAGATTGAATATGGCTATAATAATACTCTTGATCTTTCTCTTTCAACTGCACCCCCTATCTGAAGAAACTTTGAAAAGGCATCATAAAAGATCCTTTTGCTGGGCCCTGTGGATGAACTAAAAGGCCTTTAACTTTGTATCTTGTCTTTTGGTCTGACATGTTCTCTGCTGCAGTTACCTTGCATTTACTTTGCACTTCAGGAAAGAAGATTGACTGATGAGTATCTTGTATGGTGGGCAAACTACCCCTCAGACTGCATTACCTTCTTATTATTTTCAAGGAAACCACCAAAAACTCAGGAGATCGCTGCCAGACAAATTGTCACAATGATAAAGTGACATCATCTCCGAATTCCTTCAGAGACAAAGAGCTACTGGTCAAACAGGCCACACCTGTGATTTGGGACTGTTTTGTTTTATTTTGTTTTTTCAGAAACAAATGATTTATTTCTCACAGAATAAGCAATATGCACTTTGCTTTAAAACACAGCATAAGAATACAAAGTTTAAATAAGGCCAGAGATAGGAAATGATTATTTTTGAAAGGGTCTTACTCAGTTCCATGCAGGACCACAGCAGGCCAAGGAGCGAAGTAGGCAAATAGCACAGAGCCCCTGGTTGCACTGATTTCCAGAGCAGTGGGCAGAACTGTTCTCCATTGTTTCCAGGGTTACTGGTAAAATTGGATCTGCCTACAAGATAACCATTTCCTGCTTCTCAAACAAATACCTCAGATGACCAAAAGGGGACTAACAAAGATGCCAATAAAATTCCAGGTGTCTGATGGCTAGCCCCAAGTGCTGATAACCAGGAGGGTTTTCCTTCACAACAGAGATCTCACTTGGTATACATGTGTGTAGGACAAGGCCTTTGACTGCTTGGCACCACAGTGCCTTAAGCCTTTCTTCTAGGCTATTCATTCTCCACAAGGAGCATGTGGATAGCCAGCCCAGCAACCCTTAGTATGCACAGGTGCAACTCCATTACATAAACTTTGTTTCATAAACTCTGTTACATAAACCTGTCAGGGTTTGTGTCCAACCAAACTTCCCCTAGTGGCCTTTCAGTCTTCCTCATGCCCCTAGTAAAGACAGAAAGTCTGTCCTGGCCATACTTCCTTTTCTGTTCTGGAGGCATAGGGCCTAATGGGGATAGGAGACATTCTTGAGGTTCTTACCCAGTAACCAGTAAAAACCGAAGGGCATATTCTTGCAGCATACTTTAAAGTGGCTAAAATAAATGGGGTATTGTTCTAGCACTTTCATTGAGCACAATGAAGGCTAGATGAGAGCACAAGCTATTGAGGCTCATGTCTGTAATCCTAGCTACTCAGGAGGATGAGATCTGAGGATCACAATTCAAAGCCAGCCTGGGCAGGAAAGGCTGTGAGACTCTTTATCTCCAGTGGAACTACTCAGAAAAAGCCAGAAGAGGTATTGTGGCTCAAGTGGTAGAACACTAACTTTGAGCAAAAGAAACTCAGGGATAGTGCCCAGGCCATGAGTTGAAGCCCCAGGACAGGAAAACAAACAAAAAATACCCAGATTGCAAAAATAGCAATACTACTAACAATTTATTATTTATTAGTCTATTGTTATAATTGTTATATTTTACTATTGGAAACCAATGCCTAATTTATGGCAGGTCTGTATGAATAGCCATATTCTATATAAGGTTTGGCATTATTTTCATTTTGTCAGGCATACATTTCAGGAATATTAAAATGTATTAGGTCATTTTTCTATATTCATTGAGTTTTTATATACAGTGAGCAAAGGCCAGAAGTGTCATATCCTTGTTAAAGAAGCTTGAAATGGGAAGCACAACCAAGTGTCAGAACTCTGTTCTGGGTACCTTTTTCCTCTGGATGATACCTTGTAAATAACCTTAGCTACCTTTTTGGGAAAATCTTCTAAAAGTAAGGAAATGATTTAAAAAAAAAAAAGAAAACCTTTCATAACACCAGAACAGATTTAGCTGTAATACAGATTATTCAAAAAGTAATATCTTGGGCTGGGAGTGTGGCTTAGTGGTAGAGTGCTTACCTAGCATATATGAAGCCCTGAGTTCAATTCCTCAGTACCACATAAACAAAAAATAAGAAGAAATCCATGAAAATTAAGAGAGAAGTTTAAAAAAGAGTGTTCAGCCCTTAAAAAAAATCTTTTGCTATTCTAGCAAAAGGACCCTGGAAGTCGAATTATTAATACATATATTTAAAGTTTTAAGAGGATTAGATACAGTGCTTAACTAATTTATATCTTCTAATGATATGTCTAGGAATACGTACAGGGGCTTTGCCATTCTTAAAGGTATTTTCTTTTACTAAAGTTACTGATTTATTAATTAACAGGAGATAAAGCATACAGTGCTTATAGGCCTTATAACACCCATAGACAGGAGATGTCTATCTAATATCCACAGGAACTATTAGTAGACACTTAGGGTTTTATTGGTAAGGACATAAGCAATCTAGTTAAACTTCCTTAGTCTTCTCATAAAGATGGATGGGAGCTGAATATGAGGTCAGTTAGGTGAAGCTGTTAAGTAACAGGTAGCCATGAGAGATGGGAAATGCAAATGGAACCCAAAGTAGAAAATAAGATCATATAATCTCTGAAAGAAAGCATTGTAACTTTATAGTTTACAGGTGATCAGCCTGTATGGTGTCCACTAGGGTTATAGTGTCCTAATATGGGGTGTTGTCTTTCCCCGCTAGTATTCCATCCCTTAAGAATTTGTGTAGGTTTCATTTCAGCCTAAGATGGGTCACCAAATTGTTCTAAAACAATAGATCTTTAACTTACCTGTGGATAAAACCTTGATGCCATTGAGCTTACATGTAATTCTATAAACCTCCCCAACTCTTGGGACATGATTCTGCTTCATGGGCTGGTACTTAGGAGAGACTTCATGTTCCTGCACCATTCTCTCTTGCAGTTACTTTGCAGCCATTTTGATATCTAGAAAGAGCTGGACCATCTGTCACATATCAGTGACTCTTACTGTAACAAGGCTTTACTTGACCATCCTGACACAATAGATTACTAAGATTGTAATTGATGCCACCTGATCTTCCTATAACTTGAACTGTTTATGCCTACCTTATCACTACCTAACCCAGATTTTCCCTATTTAATATAAGGTCAGTGTCTATGCCCTTGCAGATGGCTAAAGATGAACTAAAGTGCCTCTGTTCCATGTATATGCTACACACTCTTTTTCTGTTGTATTTCTTTTTAAAGAAACTTTCCTGTCACTTTCACTGTGTTCATGTTTTACTTTAATTCTGTCAGACATAAGGATGAAGGTTGATTAGCTGTGCTGAATTTCCAGTACAAAGCCAGGATTCACATCTCACAGCTGCTAACCATTGCTAGTGATGTTGTTGTTACTGTTGTTTTTGCCTTTTATTTGTAAAAGCCTACCTGTAACAATCAATGAATATGCTTAGCAAACAATGCGGGTTTCTTTTCTCTTGTCTTTGCTTTGAATCAGTTAACTATGGAACCCAAACTACATAGGAAATGCTTTGTAGCTGTCACTTTTGTCTTTGACACTAGAACTTGAAATGCAGTTCTTCACATCTTCATTGGGTGTTTATGAAATGCCTTATTACTTGTATGATGTACTCAGCTCCCTTGAAAGTGGAGCTTTTTTTGGGGGTGTGGGAGGGGTCTGGTTGTGGGGCCTGAACTCTGGGCCTGGGCGCTGTCCCCCAGCTCTTCAGCTCAATGCTAGCACTTGACCACTTGAGCCACAGTGCACTTCCGGCTTTTTTCTTTTTTCTTATGTGGTACTGAGGAATCGAACCCAGGGCCTCAGGCATGCAAGGCGAGCGCTCTACCACTGAGCCACCTTCCCAGCCCTTTTCTTTTTGTTTTTCTGTTATAATTTTGACTGACATGGTTGGCTAATAAAAGGAAATGATGAGAGACAATAGGATTTTTGTTGTTCTTCTTATTTCTTTTTTTTTTTTTTTTTGTCAGTCGTGGGGCTTGAACTCTGGGCCTGGGCGTTGTCCCTCAGCTCTTCAGCTCAAGGCGAGCGCTCTACCACTTGAGCTACAGTGCCACTTCCGGTTTTCTGGTGGTTTATTGGAGATAGGAGTCTCACGGTCTCTCCTGCCCGGGCTGGCTTTGAACCGAGATCCTCAGATCTCAGCCTCCTGAGCAGCTAGGATTACAGGCGTGAGCCACCAGCGCCCGGCTTCTTCTTATTTCTTAGAACACTATTATCTCCTATCTACTTTTGAAGCAAGATATAGTTGGAACAGAAAGCATGGTTGCTTAGAGTGCCAGTTCCTCCACGTACCCTGTTGTAGACATGATATACTTACCTTGTATTAGCTTGGAATGTCACACTGAAATCCTGTGCTTATTAAATTTTAAGAGCACTGTGAGCCAGGTGATTGTGGCTCATTCCTGTAATCTTTACTACTCAAGAGGCTAAGGATTCAAACCAGCCCTAGCAGACAAATCTGGGAGAACCTT